GAATGTACCTTTCTTGTGGGCCTCTTGTCTGGATGTCTCTCAAACTTAAGCTGGTTGTAATCCAGCCAATTCTGGAGTCGGTTTCTTTTATTAACCAGTTTCGCAAACTTGTTTGCATTGTACACAGCCTGGGCAGGTTTTGAGCACAGTGCAAACAAGAAAGGATGAGTTAAAAGTCATGAGGAGAAAATTAAGAACAGTAAAAGAAAAAGGAAAAAAAAAGATGATAAGAACAGTATCATTGTAGAGTACAATAGAAACATACCTGGTGACATAAATAATGATCAGGATGATTTCTCTGAAAGAAGGTCTCAACACTATCGGACACTGAGCGTCCAGAAACATGCGGCACATTCCTAACAAGAACCTGGTTATGATTCAAAATGAATTAAATATTCAATTGATAAAAACTGAGGTTCAAATGAACCGAAGAACAACAAACCATATCCACAAAGTATATCCCACTACAAAGATTATATAATAAGAAGAAAAGAGGGAAAACGGAAGAATTTAGGAGGCAGAAATGTTAAATCAAATCATAAATCGCAACTAACGCAACTTTCATCAGTGTTTATACAAATATAAAATTTAACAAAGAAGGTTGATAACATAGGATGCCCTGGAGTACCATAAACCAAATAAAACCACACAATCGAAACATTTGCTTCAACATCCTTCACATTGCAAATGCAATCACAGTTAAAACTTACCGTGAATTGTTCGGCACACCTGCCCTGCGAAGACAAAAAATTTAGCCGCATTGATGCGACTCTACCATACTCCTTGTAAAGCAGGAAACAAGCCCAGAAAGTAAACAAGTACTCCATTGATATGTGGACAAAGAACCTGACATCCAATCATGACAGTTGTTTTCTGAGGCGTGACATTCAAACATATGACACATAAAAAATTCATAATATGAAAACCGGTTAAATCATCTGTTATGATGCAATCGGATAAAAATGGTGTTAAAATTTTGAATTTAAGTTACTTTCGTGTAATGCAATTGCTGACTAAAGAGTCTGTTGATGTTAACTGTTAAGGCTAGGCTTTTATCTCCACTGGTGAAAGGACCACGATGAAACTTACTTATAAGACTTGGGACGAACATTTGATATCGAAAGCTTGTCGATGTCACTCACAACCAAGTCATGGCGCAGAAAAAATAAAGTTCCATCAGATACATTCACGGGAATCAGAAACAGAAGAGCCGCAATCGCTATTGGTCCAAATATTTTCAAGCTGGCAAAAATTAAAGGAGACAAGAGCAAGTGTAAGTGATCCGAACGAAGAAACAAAATTCAGCAATTTCAAGATAAAGGTGATGGAATGAACCAGAAGCTGCATCACACCTAATAGAGATTATCCAAAATTGCACACGAACCATTGAAGTTATAAACCAACAAAACAAAAACTAAATACATCGATTAATTCTGTGCTTGAACGACCGAAATTCAAGAAAACGTCAGAATAAAACTCAGGAATTGGCTGATAAATACTCTCCCAGATGAATTGACAGCTTATCCAGTAATATAAGGGGAAAATAAAAAGAAGAAGGCAGGCAGCATAATCACCAAGGAAAACAAAAACACTCAACCTGATCAAAAGTCAAAGTATCAGACAACCAAAAGAACATGTGAAAAAATCTTCAAATTAAGTAGGAAAATACAACTGACAAGAGGATTAACATTAACCATAACCAACAATTAGAACAATCTAGTATATTTATTTTTCCTAAACAAAACAAAAAGAAGGTGATAACATAAGCACAAAAAGGTGGAATCTTTGCAAGTACCCAAGAGTATAAATCCTCAAGAAAACAGCAGAATCAAGCCCAGCATGGCTAATGATCTCAGGCTCACTCATCTTGAGTGCCTGAGGCATCCAGTTGAGAAAAGTGAAGTAAGTCATGACATTGAGATTGACAAATTTGCCCACCACACCACCCCATCCCCTGGGGCTCGTCCTCTTCCCAGCCATGTACCATTTGGGAAAGTAAACTCTGTCATTGATTGGCTGGATTCTGAGCAGCGCGAAGGCCAGCAAGAATGCAAAGGCACTCAATATGTTGATAAGGGCCGACACACCAATATCCCCAAGAGTTGCCATTTATTCTTTCTTCACTTTTTTTCTTTTCGCCTCTGGGCTTCAATTGACACAATAGAATTTACACACAAAGCATGTGAAAAGGAAGAGAAAAGAGGAAGAAAGACTGTGTTTGTGGAAGGAAGGAGAAAAAGGTTGGAAGAATATTTTCTTGGTTCTTTTCCTAGTCTTTATTTTTGGAAATAATATGGCTAAATACTTTTTTCCATTATTATTTTAGGGAGATGCTACAAACTTCTGTCGGGTTTGTAATCAAAAGATCAACTATTTCAAATGGTTACATGATGATATAACGATTACAAACTCGACGAAATAGTTATAATAATTACAAATCCGACGAAATAGTTCTGTAAGGTATCGTTTCCCATTATTTTATTATAACCATCGATAGTAAACTCGCTCATGTTCTTGAAGTGGGTTTAATGTGTTGGGACCACTGAAATGGTGGGTTTGGGTTACTTTTGGGTTTTGGCAATCGATAAAGATTGGATTTTTATTTCAATTTGGCAAAAGGGTAGGCTATAAACTATAGAGTGAGGGCTGAAAACTGATGAGAAGGTAGTGTTTTTTTTTTTTCCTGCTCGTGATGATC